GCCCGAGCGCTGGCCCCCGCCACAGCTCCGCAAGGCTTTGGAGGTGGCAGGGGGAAGGAGATGCCACGTGTCCTCCCAACTGCCAGCCTGAGCACCAGCCTCTGCGCTTTCCCTCACGGTGATAGGGACAATCACACCTGATTATCCAAGCCTTGTATTGGCGCAGCTCCTTAAAGAAGCTTTTGCCCTGGAAATGATGTGTCCCTTTGTTTCAATAGCTGAACTTGCTTCTTTCTCAGAGACCAGGCTGCGCCAGGCGCTGCAGTCCCCTTTGCTGGGGAGTCCACGATGATGATGATGAAAGAGCTGTGGCTGTTCCCGCGAGGGGGCCCTCGACGCTCCCATCCCAACACTGACGCTGATCCCGGAGCCTCTCTGCCTGCACGGAGCGCTGGGAAGCTGCGTCACAGCGCGCGGTGCTGCTGGCCCAAACGAGGATCCGTGTTGCTGCAGTGCGGGAGCTCCATGAACTGGAGCGGCCTCTGAATCTGCTGAAATCACAGAAGTGCCTCCTCACACACAAATTCCACAGCTAGTTAAAATATTGCCAATCTCTTCATGGAAACATACCCGGGTTTGAGAATCAAGGGGCCTCCCTTGGCAGATTTGCCAGCTCTCATTCTGGGCTACGCCGAGACCTGCTCTTGTCCTGATGGATAACCTGACCTAAACGTCTGGAATTGTATGTATAACTTTTTATACCGAAAAACAAAATCCTGAGATTACATCTATTTTTCTAAGCTCGCTCATTGCCTTATGCGAAAGACACTAGTTATGCTTGCTGCAACTTCAGTTCTGCTTGTGGTGCTCTTCGGGGGCACGAATAGTTTTGCAGCTCTTATCTGAACATGGGCACCAAGGGGCTGGGGATGCCATCCCACCAGGTGGCCTCTCCTGGGCCAGCCCGTGAGGGGGACAGCGAACACGAGTAACTGCCGTAACCACAGGGGCTTCCAGCCCCGTGTTGCCACCCGGCTCCTGTCCTGCCCCTCGCCCCAGGGAGGGCTCCAGCTCCATCAGGTCTGCAGTATTTGTGTGGCTGCAAATGTTACATCACTGACTTCAGTAGCTGGCTGAGCCTACAAGTCAGTGGCATTTCTGTACTTCAGGGTAGAGCCATGGTGTTTCTACATCACATCCAGTTGCATGATTCCAAAGAATGATTTAGATATTGATATTTATTGACTGATGAAAATGGAGAAACAATCTGGCTATGAGCAGTAATTATCTTAGATTAAGAAAGCAGCTGGTGGTAACCATTAACACGTTCCAGCAAAACGATACCGCTCTGCTGATTCTCCCATTACATTTTAAAATGTTGATATTGTGAAAGAAAACATCAAGAAGAGCGACAGAGGGTGCCATGGTGGGAGATCTGGCATGGAGCTGGGATCTGCACAGGGAAGGACTCTGGAGCACGAGGGTGAACAGGAGGCTCATGCAGAGCAATAAATAAGGTTGGGAGATGCAGAACTTGGGGATGTGGGAAAAGCTGGAGAAGATGAGATGTGCAGAGCTGTGGGTTTGCACTCAGGAATCCATGAGGTGAGGGGCTGAAGGATTAGAGGGAGGAATCCGCAGGAACATACGGAAGAAATAAATAAGAGGGCAGAGAGACCTCTTGCTGCAGCGGGGAGGGAAGACGGGAATAGCTCCAGAAATTAGAAATAAGTGGCACAGAAGGAGGTGTGGTGGGGAGAGCAGAACAGGGATAAAAAGTCTTGCAAGGAAGAGTGACACTGAGATTAGCAACGGGGCTGAAAATTATCGATAGAGATGGAAGAGGGAGTGTGAGGAGCACGTGGTGCTGAGACGGACCTTGAGAGGTCCCCTCGCCTGAGCCCTTATGTGGGCCATCCTGGCTGAGGGCTCTGCACGGACACCCTGTTTGGCCAAGTCTGCGGGGCGCCGCAGCGTGAGGAGGTGGCGCGGGCAACCCAGCAGCGTGGGCAGCCCGGGGGCGTGGACACCCCGGTCGTGTGGGACGCCCAGCAC